AGTCAGACTGGAGTCTGTGTAGCTAACATTTGTACTCAACTTTTCAATAAATCTACTTTCATGTGTCAGTATATTACAAAATAAATGTACACCTTTGAATGTACCTTAATGTCATTACAATTTGTTTTAGTAGGAGAAAATCAAAGAAATCTTAAAGAACTCCCATGTGGTGAAGGTATTGGAGGCATTAAGTACACATAGGGAATACAGTATTTACTAGTTTCATTAAAATTTGATGAGTGATAAGTAGTACTTAAGTTATCTGTGGGGCACCTTAATATTGGTCGATATATGCAAATTAGACAATTATTATGCACGGATTTCAATCAAAAACTAATCATGTCTGAGCATTAACCCAGAAAATCTATGTACCAGGTTTCATTAAAATCTGATAATTAGTTGGCAAGATATCAGTAGAACAGACACACAGAAGCACTTCGCACACGGAAGTCAAAAATAGTACACCCTCACCCCACACATTTTCAATGGCTCATGACATTACAGCAACCCCCCCTCCCTTCAAAACAGTTTCTATAACTGTCATTAGTAACAGGATAGTGAACCACAGAATTATTCCACGTCTTCAACTGAAATTCTGATTAGATATGAGAACCACTACCACAGCCAAGTTCAATACATAATATGTCGGCATGGCAATGGTATTGAGTTATTGTCGATTCATATTTTGTACAGCATAATTTATTTGACTTTAATACTGTTTAAGTATATACTTTTTGCATATCAAATGTCTACTCTACAAGATTAAAAAAAAAATTGATGTTATGATTCAGAGACTTCTATTGTAACATCTTGGGTAATTCCAGAAGTCTTTTCACAACATGTAACGTGTAAGGAACCTTCCCTGTAAAAATGACAATAGAGAAGAAGATGTTATTCAAGCATATCGTGATGGTTTATTTCAAAAAACCCGCTTGCTGAGAAAAATGTAGATTTCAGCAAGTAAATGCAGTTTTCAACCATCATTACAGATAAATGACATGCAAAATGTATGCTGCAAACTTTTCTTGACTGACCAACCAGTTAATGCCATAACCTTTAACCTTTGAACCACAAGATTTTGTTCCTAAATTTTTCAGCCCTTTATCCTTCCTTATATTCTTCATTATTTCTGGAAATGAATCCCAATTTTGAAGCCAACAGAAAACAGTTTTTACTCACTAAGTTTAGCTATTTTTTGTCCCAATCTTCTGAAGGAAAGTGCAGACTAAAAATAATACTATTTTGTGAATTTGTGATGAACTGATGGTTAAGACGTGAAGTACACTCTAAAAATGAAAATTAATTGGGAAGCCAACAAAATTTATTGTCATCTTTTGGACAAGTTGAAAATGTTTGCAATTTTTTTTGTTAAATTCAAGCCATCAAATATATTACATATATCCACAAAACATAAAAGTATTCTCTCAGAACATAACCTCAGACATCAGCATGGAACATTCAAATGTGCAGCAACACATTGAGATATCCAATAACTCGTGCACAGCCAACATACAGCAATACATGGATTCATATATTAGACTTTGATATTCAGGGTTAGGGGCCCTGAGGTGAGTGTGTGTGTGTTATGTCATACCTCCTAAAATGTAAAATAGTTGTAACTGATTTGCCATCTTCTGAATCCACTGGTAAATTGTGTAGTACTACCTGCAATGCAAACAGATGTAAACATTTACTATACGACGAGTTACATGCTTAGATAGGCACTACTGGGGGGGGGGGGTGCCTCTCATAATGATGAGATGAATAGTGACTGCCAACTGAAATAATCCACTGCCGGAGGCGGGTATACCACAAGATATTGATATCGGTATACCCGACTCTGGCGGTGGTTTATTGCTATTATATTATACCAACTTCATTTCTGTAGCATTTTCGACACTCTCTGCCTTTTTACAAAATAAGAAAGAGTCGTTTTCGAACGACGTGTAATGAACATCGGCTGGTCGACACGGTGATCAGATGAAATGGGCCCTGGAACCAGTATTTAATCTCTTATCACACAATCGCGCTCAGTACACAGAAGTGCACAGAATAGCAAGTTTAGATATCATCACGATCAAAGGAAGTTTATTTCTACAATGCAAGAAACTAGCAAATAATTAGAAATGGAATAAACTGAACAAGCTGAACGCTAAATTTACATATGAATAGCTGTGAATAAATTATCATCAGCAGAAATTACCGGCAGCGAGCACTGTGCGTCATTTTTGAAAATATGTGCTGTGGACTTAATATCGTTGTCGGATTTTCTATTTTGTGTTTGTTATGCTGACATTAATTGGTCCACTAAAAGTGCAGTTATGGAACAAAGCAGATGCTGCATGTGTATTTTGATTGTGGGTTTTAGAAGCGGTGCCAGATTCTGCGGGAGTTGGTCCAGACGCTACTATGCCGATGTTTTCTGGGGTAAGGATGACGTGGTCGGAAACACCCGCTTCGATCGCTACGGTCACTTCTCTATCAGAGGATTTGTTTTTATACCAAAAACTGCGAGACAGGATACTGGATATTCATTGACTCTGATTATTGGTGACTTTGTTTTTAAGTGCCGTAAAATACATAAATGCGTCTGGTTTCAACTCCTGCCGAACACAGTGCACGCAGTTGATGTGTATGAATTGTCAACCAATTTGCTGCTGTCAAAATCTCTTTCATCATAGATTCCAATTTATTTTCACGAATACTAGACTGTCAGTATCTGTTACATTTACACAGGGCCACTGAAACAACGCATTTTGCAATTTGGACAAATACATTTTGAAATGCTTCAACGGGACAATTTTCGCCGCCGGTAGCATACATTTTAGCCTGTTTCCAGCTCCTGAACCTGATACTCGGCCATGTCTATGTTGCAGAAAACGAAAACATGTCGCAAACAATAGCCTGCAAAAATTGTAGGTTGTACAATTTTTTTTATTTAACCACTGCCAAAATAAAATATGTATATAATATCTTCATGCTATCAGTATTACACCAAACTTTCCCTAAAATTTAAATGCCCTTCCCTTTATTTGTTTACGAATTGAACTTGTATTCATATTCTGGGGCTTTATTTGGAGCACCATAACTGTGCATTATGCTCTATTTAACCATGGCTTGCATAAATTAAAACAGTCTCCCAAACATACATGTTCACTAAATAAAAGTAGGGAGATTTTTCGATTGCGGATTTGTGACTTTGTACTGAGGCCAACTACATACCAACTGCAATGTCAATTGTATGCCCACTATAATGTTGACTGAGGCCTACTGTACACCAACTTTAATGTCAGCTGTATGCCAACTGCAATGTTGACTGTAATGTCAACTGAAATATTGACGGTAATGCTAACTCTGACGTCAACTATAATGTTTACTAATGTCAACTGTAATATTGACAATCAAAATAATCTGTGATCAAGTTTTCAAGTTACCAACTGTGGAGGGAGTACACATTCTGTAGATACGGTGAATGAATACATATAAAGCATATAGAAAAGAAATGAACTCATAGTTGGTAAATTTTATACTCACTTTAGCCAGTAATTTAGCATCTTCTACGCTGACACCCTCATATATTTGTATACAGGCTGAACACTGGTCTTTACCAACTTGTAATACATGTTGACGTCTGACTGGAATTGGTGTATTTACTGGTATAACTGTTAGTAGTTTTTCAACTCTATTGTCATCTAATATCTAAAGAATATAAAATAGAAGAACTACTGTTTTAATATGGTTATAATAGCTAATCCATTATGCTCCAAGTTGAGGCATTTTATGATTAAAAAAAAAAAAATTAAACAAAATCAATCAAAAGTATCAGAGAAATTGTAAAATGTCATTGATTCAAAAACTAAACGTACATGCACATCAAGAAAAAAAAAACTATTTTCAGATCAGAACATCAATTTTTGGTGCCAAAATGCGAGTGTATATTGTTGTCAATTAGGGGCCTCAGAACACAGCGTTTAAATATAGGACAAGCATGACCATATATACACATATACCTCAGTTTGTAATCAATTCATACCTTGATCATAATATTTTTAGAGCAGCATTCAACCACACCATTCTCTTCTATATCATCTTCATCCACAGTGCATAACAAACCAGCCTGTCAGCAAAGTAACATATAATCAAATATATCAAGTTACTGGTTTCAATGGCAGACAATCAACAACACTAGTATACATGCATAATTGTTTTGAATACCATTGTTGAATAATCTAATTCTATATAATATAAGTTTATGTTCATAAATCACAGCATGCTATAATTTTCCAGTATGACCCAGGATATTGGCAACTTATGTAAATACCAAATAAGGAATGATGATGTGACACATTTCCAAGATGGTAGACAGTTGCATCCTACCTTATTTGGAAATGTGAATTTCAAATAAGGAATGATGATGTGACACATTTCCAAGATGGTAGACAGTTGCATCCTACCTTATTTGGAAATGTAAATTCCAAATAAGAAATGATGATGTGACACATTTCCAAGATGGTAGACAGTTGCATCCTACCTTATTTGGAAATGTGAATTCCAAAAAAGGAATGATGATGTGACACATTTCCAAGATGGTAGACAGTTGCATCCTACCTTATTTGGAAATGTAAATTCCAAATAAGAAATGATGATGTGACACATTTCCAAGATGGTAGACAGTTGCATCCTACCTTATTTGGAAATGTGAATTCCAAAAAAGGAATGATGAGTTAAAAAAAAAAGATTGTCGAATTTTACTGATAAACTTGTTCTCCTCTCTTCTCTAAATTTTGTGAAAAAAAGTCTTAGAAGAAAAATGTGTTATTCTCACTGTACTGTCTTAGCACAAAAAAAATGTTCAGGGCATGCAATTATCAATACGATGGAAGTTGGAAAGTGATGAGACTGACCTGCACGGCTGCTCCCATGGCAACCACCTCATCTGGGGCTATAGTGTTCAATAGTTCAGCATCTGGGAAGTAATCTCGTACAAGCTTTTGTAACTTGGGAATTCTTGTGGACCCACCTGATACTATGACCTGTGAAATATTTTATTAAATTATCTCATTGCACTGTCCACACACTATAATAGGTACTTGGTATATTAGCATTGTGACCTGCATATGAATTTCAAATATGTATTCAATTATGACTTGTTTATGCACCAACTTTTAACAAAATGTATAGTGACATGTTGAGACAGTCACATACATGCATATACAAACATAAACCCATATCCTAAGTTCCTGTTTCATGTCAGACAGAGAAAAAAAAAACAGATTAAAATGTAATCTGAACTAGTCTGCACTCAGCTGAAATACTCAGTGTGTTGAGGTACAAGGATATAGACAAATATCAGTTAATATTCATAACCAAAATCACGATTTTTCTATGTGTGATATATACATTCTAGAGTTCAAGTCAGTTTGCCACTGCACAACTGCGGAAATATGTTTCAGCTTTATTTATTTTTTTATGATCATTCACCTCATGAAAAAACAAAAACAATCATTTTTTTGAAATAAAAATTGTACACAATGCAGGGTACAAATAAAATCACAATTTAATCCATACTGGAAGTAAATCTACAGTGATTGGGAAGTCATCTTGGTTACCAAGGAAAATCAATGAACACAAGTCACTCTGACAAGAAAGGAATATTACTAGTACCTTATCGATATCAGCTTTATCAAGACCTGCATCATCGAGAACTTTTTGTAATGGCTGTAAACATGCTGGTAATATACTAGAAAACAGAGACTCTAGTCTGGCTCTGAAGAAGAAAAACAAATTTTAGCTGGGTCACCGTAAAATAAAATCTAAGGATCATAGTAAGTGTTATTCACACTGTGGGTATGTACATATTATATACATGTGATAAGACGTCATGGTAACCAAGGTATTATTGATGCTTACCTAGACACGTTACAATTCAAATCAAGCCCATCATAAAGTGATTCTACAAATACTGTGGAACTGTTCATTGTTGACAAGACATGTTTACAAGATTCACATGCGCTGTGTAACTTAGCCATTGATCTCTTGTTTTCACGCATATCACACTTCCAATTCCTGTAACCAATAACAAAATATATTGGTGTGAAATAAAAAATTTCGAAACGTAACGTTTTTCGCAAAATTTCACAACAGTTCATGATATTACACAAGTCATTGGAAAAGACATCCTCAGCAAGAATTTTAATGAAATATTTAAATTGCATAAAGTCATCAAGTTTTAAAGTGAAGGTTTGAGTCAGTAACTTTGATCCATTGAAACAAAAAAACATATGGCTGTCAGATGGTCATTTTGAATCAGATCTCAAATACATAACAATGTGCACCTGCAGCCTAATATGTATTGTCAGCATATCGAATTTGATTAAAATCAAACCAGAGAAAACCAGTTGTGGACACTTCCAAGAATTAGAATTTTGGCCTAATTCATATTCCAAAATGACTGCCAGTTGGACATATTTGATCAAAACAAAAACAAAATTGTCATGTATATTAATTGTTTTTGAACCAGAGATAAAGAAAATTTTCAAACATTTGTATGCAATCCAAAAATATCAGATATAAATACTTTAAATGCCATCACTTTTCCAGCTAAAATTTAGGTGTAGTATTTTGCAATTTTTCTGTAACTTTTTTTTTTGAATTTTAGACACTCGTTTTCACTGGCTATAGACAGGCTAAATATTGCGAAAAAATACAGAACAACCTATTGACAATCTCTGACCACTTATAAGCTAAATACCTGATATCTTGTAAAAAGTGCATGTAATATTTTGTTTTATAACATGATCTGTTACGCTGCAGGCTTGTTCAAAGTTTAGGAAGTTTTACATGATGTGCAACATCAACAGTTGTCATTTACACAATTTTGCGTAAAGCGACATCACATTTCCAGGAGTTCGATGTACTATAAGTCGAACATTTACTCGCAAACATTCAATGCTATATCAAATGTATATCTGGAGAATTATTTTAGTTTTTTTTATAACAATGAACTCGGAACAAAGACGACAAAATAACTGATAATTATTACATATTCTGACAAAAATACCACAAATGGTCTATTGCGAATGAAACGAAATCTGTCAATGTATGGACAAGAAATGATTAAGGACAAAAAAATGAAAATAAAAACAACAAGCCAGTCGGTTATTTTTGAATTAAATCACAAAAAAAAAAAACTGACCTGCATCAGTAAACTAAAAGGACCAAAATGTTGATACAGACAAGTGATTTTACAAGAGTGAAATTATAAGTATGAAATCCCTGCTCATTACTTACCTTTGAAAATCAGCAGCACAGTACTCTACAAGCTGATCAGTAAGTTGTTCACCACCGAGTGATGTGTCTGTGGTATTTGCTAGTACTCTGTATATCCCACTATTGACAGATATAATAGATATATCCAGACACGTTCCGCCGAGACGAAACACCAACACAGTACTGTAATGAAATTAATACAGCTACAATGCTCATGTCAAATACAATATGAGAAGTCTGACATAATATGTCTTTCATGATTCATATACGATTCCTTTCAAACATGTATGTTATAAGGTAACACTACAACTGTTGGTTCACTGATCTGTTGCTAGTCTTACCTGTTATCAGTGGGCGTCTCCTGTCCAATTTTATATACTAACACAGCAGCTGTTGGTTCACTGATCTATTGCTAGTCTTACCTGTTATCAGTGGGCGTCTCCTGTCCAATGTTATAAGCTAACACAGCAGCTGTTGGTTCACTGATCTTTTGCTAGTCTTACCTGTTATCAGTGGGCGTCTCCTGTCCAATGTTATAAGCTAACACAGCAGCTGTTGGTTCACTGATCAGTTGCAACACAGTAAAACCAGCTTCTTTGGCAGCATTACTGGAATACAAAAACAAAACTGTATGAGAAATACTGATGACATATTTTCACCATGACAGTGATAAGACTGGTGATCTCAGATTGTTCGATCTCAGTTACTGCAATTGATTGTTTTGATTGGTCAATTACTGCAATGGACTATTTTGATTGGTCAGTTACTGCAATGGATTGTTTTGATTGATTAGTTACTGCAATGGACTGTTTTGATTGGTTAGTTACTGCAATGGATGCTTTTAATTGGTCAGTTACTGCAATGGATTGTTTTGATTAGTTAGTTAGTTACTGCAATGGATGCTTTTGATTTGTCAGTTACGGCAATGGATTCATTTGAGTTGCTCATTTCAGTTTATTTTGATATATATCACATCCTCTCTAGTTGGTTTTGCTATATTCTGTTTACATTATTTTATTTGACTAATATCTACTCATCAAAAGAGTAATAACACTTTGGCATTAACTTTAGAAAGTGTCATATTTTACTTCATCCAAAGTATTACTGTTTCTGCTAAACAATGTTTATATTTCATTTTGTACAAGTTAAGCTATGTACAACTGAGTAAAATTTGGGATTTGGTTTTTGCGCTAAAATCAATCAATTTAGTGTTCCAAATGTGCACCAAAAACATTCAGGATTATTTCTATGCATTTTAATAATTTCAAAATTGAAATTTAATTTAGATATCAAGACTCAATACCTGAGTTGTTTACACTGGTCAGGAGAGAAATCTAATGGTACAGAAATAACAGCATCATGAGCAGCACTTCCACCATGTACTTTAGCAATATCTGAAATAAACAAGCCATGCATGGCACAGTCCCCATTAGTTATTGAATTTAAGATATATAGTTTTTTTTTATAGTAATACAGCTGGAACATAAACATGTCAGAAATATGATTATGATGATTGAGATATATTGCTCTGGGACAGCATTAATTAAAACAAAATCAGTCATTTGGAATACATGTATAATGAATATACAAAATTTGAAAATAATTAATCAGTCAAAGCATGTCAGAGATATGGCACTAGAGCTGCATTCATTAATACAAAATGGCCACCAGTCGGCCATTTTAAATCCGATCTGAAAAATAAAATGACCTGCATCAGGAACCCATAATGTCTAATGTATGTACCAAGTTTGAACAAAATCCATTCATAAATGCTTGATATTTGATAATTGTTTTAGCACAAAAATGGCCATTTTGAATAGGATCGTCAAACCAATATATCTGTATATCTATGACAAGATTTATAATGAATATTTAAAATTTGAACATAATCAGTCTAAGCAAGTCAGAGATATGGCACTAGAACCACATTCATTAAAACAAAATGGCCGCCAGTCAGCCATTTTTAATCTTATCTGAAAAACAAAATGATGTGCATCAAGGTCCTATAATGTATATACCAATTTTGAACATAATTCATCTGTAAACAGACGAAAAATGCTTGATTTTGGTGATTTTTAGCCATTCGGCAATCTTGAATCAGATTGTGAAACAAATTTACATGCATATGTATAATATCATGTAGGATGTATGTGTGAAGTTTGATTGTGATTGGTCCAGGCATTTCTAAGATACAGGTCCGGACGCACGCACGCACGAACGAACACACAGATGCACAGACACACAAACGCACAGAGGTCAAAACACAAGTCCCCATTTTCGGACTGCATCCAAACGAGGACTAACAATAAAAGACTTCACTTGTCAGTAAATTACCTGTAATTAATATGCATAGTTTTATACTAAGATGTAAATAGTGTCAAAGTACAAAGAAATGGGTGGACAAATGGCCAGGGAGAAATGTGTGGACAAATGCCCAGGGAGAAATGGGTGGACACATGGCCAGGGAAAAATGGGTGGACAAATGGCCAGGGAGAAATGGGTGGACAAATGGCCAGGGAAAAATGGGTGGACAAATGCCCAGGGAGAAATGGGTGGACAAATGGCCAGGAAGAAATGGGTGGACAAAATGGCCAGGGAGAAATGGGTTGCCAAATGGCCAGGGAGAAATGGGTGGACAAATGGCCAGGGAGAAATGAGTGGACAAATGGCCAGGGAAAAATGGGTGGACAAATGGCCAGGGAGAAATGGGTGGACAAATGGCCAGGAAGAAATGGGTGGACAAATGACCAGGGAGAAATGGGTGGACAAATGGCCAGGGAGAAATGGGTGGACAAATGGCCAGGGAGAAATGGGTGGACAAATGGCCAGGGAGAAATGGGGGGACAAATGGCCAGGGAGAAATGGGGGGGCAAATGGCTAGGGAGAAATGGGTGAACAAATGGCCAGGGAGAAATGGGTGGACAAATGCCCAGGGAGAAATGGGTGAACAAATGGCCAGGGAGAAATGGGTGGACAAATGGCCAGCGAGAAATGGGTGGAAAAATGGCCAGGGAGAAATGGGTGGACAAATGGCCCGGGAGAAATGGGTGGACACAATGGCCAGGGAGAAATGGGTGGACAATTGGCCAGGGGGAAATGGGTGGACAAATGCCCAGGGAGAAATGGGTGGACAAATGGCCAAGGAGAAATGGGTGGACAAATGCCAAGGAAGAAATGGGTGGACAAATGGCCAGGGAGAAATGGGTGGACAAATGGCCAGGGAAAAATGGGAGGACAAATGGCCAGGAAGAAATGGGTGGACAAATGGCCAGGAAGAAATAGGTAGATAAATGGCCAGGGAGAAATGGGTGGACAAATGGCCAGGGAGAAATGGGTGAACAAATGGCCAGGGAGAAATGGGTGGACAAATGGCCAGGGAGAAATAGATGGATAAATGGCCAGGGAGAAATGGGTGGACAAATGGCCAGGGAGAAATAGGTGGACAAATGGCCAGGGAGAAATGGGTGGACAAATGGCCAGGAAGAAATGGGTGGACAAATGGCCAGGGAGAAATGGGTGGACAAATGGCCAGGGAGAAATGGGTGGAAAAATAGATGGACAGACAGATGAATAGAGAGAAAAATAGATTGACAATAGACACAGGGATGGACAATGTGTAGGACAGAGAAGAATGAAAAATAAAACTGCAAAAGTGAATGGTCCCCAGGTTTTGGAGAGCTTCTATCTCTACGAAACACCACCAGTGAGTGGTCAAACATTAGTCTATTGTTATTTTACCTAAACCGCAAGTCAATTGCTTTGATATTACATATATAGGTACTACATGTGGACCTCTTTCAGATTTGTTAATTTTGTGGTGATATCTTCAATTATCTAATTTTGATGATTATTTTTGTCATTTTTAGTGAAAAGTGATATTTTTGAATTCTTGTTGAAAACAGAAAGTCCCGTTGCTTTGATACTATACATATTGTTCATTTTCTAATGATATCTTCTGTTCTTTAATTGAAATGTGCATTGCTAACAGCAGAGCTATCTCAGCCGACAGGCTGCTTGTTTTTAACAATCCTATAAATAACACCAATTGTGACTTTTGAAATACATTGTACCATAATTATTAGTTGGACCCAATAATTAAGTTGAAAACCAAAAATTATTAGCATAAGAATAACTTTCATTGTTTTCATGAAAGTTGGAAGACAGCCATGCTCAAAAAAGGCAAAACTGGTTGTCCTTACCCATCATTTTCTTTAATATTAAAGTGGTGACTTCCCTGGGATTAATAAGTAATCTTTTCTCTTGATATTCCACGTCAAAAACTGGAAAACAGGCTTTCTCAATGACTTTACAAGAACTCTTCTTGACATAACTTTTGACATGAGGGTCTTCATAACTGTTAAAGTAAGAAAATAATTTCAATTAAAGTTGTTTGTACTGTGATGTTTCATTTACAAATGCCTTGCATTTTGATGATCAACATATATAGTATATACTATTAAATTTAATTAACATCAAATATCAGTGGGGTATGCCACTAACAAAATGACATTTGAGAGGTTTAATACAAGTGCCATAAAAATGACATGTATTTATTTGCGAAATTTGATATAATGGTATAATCGTGATAACATGCATGACAGTGGACACGATGGAGTGTCTCCACAATAACATCACCTGTGATATTTGACACGAGCATGTCATCTTAATAAACTAAATTATGAAATGATGTTCCATGCCGTGACGTATAACTAGACGCAGGTGCTGTACATGAGAGTTGGTCTGAGTCATGCACATGTTTACTATAATTTGACATACCGGTACTCCCCCTGGTAGTATTTACCATGCCATTTATTTGGTGTTATTTACTTTGCTTTGCTTTACTTTCTATGTCAGCAGCTACTATTAGTTTAGAATTATGTTGTCGTTTTTTCAAGCAAAAACAGTGCTAATACATGATATTTTAAGATCGCAGTGATTCACTTCCTCAACCTGTTAGGTGAGGAGATGTTGTTTCATGTCAAATCATGCAGAAACAATGAATCATGCTTCGCATCTAGAGTTTGCGTTTCCCCTGTAATCCAGCGTAGTGAACGAAAATTGTCAATGTTAAACAACGTTACAATTTTTTCTGAGGTTGCCCTGAGGTATATGCCCATCACTTACTTTCCCAGATTTTACATGATGAGGTCCCTGGGCCTATGACCAGCGAAGTATGGTAATTATAATCGACTACCGGGTACATACCGTTTAGCTAGTAATCGCTTGACATTAGTTATAGTGTTGGACGCATTCCTTATCTTGCCTTGCTTAGCAGCTAAACCAACACTCTGGAGAAAAGAATTCATCAAAACAACACTGTATACATGTACTTCAACCATTCCAATTGCATCATGATAAATTTAAAGTTTAAATCTATACCACTGTTATTTGGCAAAAAGTACCAGAATAATTTATACAGCTACAGAGTTATTCATACAATTTCATTTGAACTGAAAGTGGTTTGAACTTTCCAGAAACTTTCCACCCCAGCCTCTACTACTCCATCTCGACTATGGTAACACATATAATCTCTTCATTATCACGGCAACATACTTACTTTTTCTCTTTCTGTAAATGCAACTACAGCAGGTGTAACTCTATCTCCTAAATCATTTGCTACAACGACTGTCTTGCCATCCTGAAATAAACAGACATGATTGATTCTGTTATGATGTTCTGTTACATGTAGAGAAATAATAGATTTTATTCACAAGTGGCCGCTGTGATCAAAAGATCTTGTTTAAGCAGAAAAATAATTTCATTCTCATCCATCATCCTATTTACAGATCACATGTAACTATGGTATTTGGAGAGGGAATTGTTTGATATTTGTGTTTTATTCGGAACAAAAATTACACATATCCTGATAGTCAGTTGTCAATGAGGTTATATATCGGTCAATTTTTTTTTTTTTAAGATAGATGCTTGGGTGGCAGCAATTTGACTACAACACTTGAATCACAAAATTTATAATCAATTACACATTTAAAGTGAAAATCACAACACTTTTACAGATCATCTACTCAACCTTGACGTTTGATGGTGAGATTTTATGCTATGTTTCCATTAGTATACAGAAGTTCCAGTTGACGAATATCGAAGAGGTCACTTCGTCTTGACTAGGGTCATACTACACAGGAGGGGGGACAGTTGATCAGTCGCCCTAAATAAAGACGATCTCAGACTATGACACCTTCATCAAAGTTGACAGTTGAGCCACAGCCTGGGAATTTCGCCACTTTCTCGGTAACTTAATCCATAACATAATGCACCCCATACATCACACTCCACTATACCCTGACATGTAGATCGAACCACCGTCCCTCAACAGGGACGGTGATCGAACCCATACCCATGTCTGTAAAATTGTACATTCCGTCTACAGAATGTGAGAACTCGATGAGTTCGTATTTCACAACATGTGCTCCTCTAATTGAGACAATATTTTCAGCAGTACAACGAAATTTTCACAATTTATTACACCACGGCTAAGATTTCTTGTCCAAATGGAACCATGTACATCTTAATCTACTATCCTACCTTGTGAACAGCAACACAACAAGAAATCGACCCAAAATTTATTCCGATGGAGGCCGCCATGTTGAGAATGTAGAATGACGTTTACTGCCCGATGAGGGCGCAATTGGGAATGGTGGCGCTTGTCTGATGTCTAATCAAATAGGGTATCTTTTAGTGGACGCAATCAGAATACGAGTTTCATTGTCACCTGCATGTTTACACAACGGTCACATTCTGTTTTCTAGAAGAACACAATATACGTGATCGTTACATACCTCAATCATCTTTCCATCTTCTAGTTGTATTATATCTTTGTCCCTCTGCGTCAATTCACTCAAAATCTCGCCAGAAATCAGAAATGTCAACATGTGACCTGTTATCGCAAAAGGCGTAAACTATATAGTGAACATTTGACATATATTTTATTATAAGCGGATATAGCTCCCGTGTAACCATGGTAACTATCAAGGGTTGTGTTTTGTCCAACATACATGTAGCTTGTGTGAAATTTACAATCGGTATTATTCCAGTGTCATATTTGTTTCCAATTAAGTAATTTCGTGTACATTGTAAAGTACTTGGAATTTACTTTCGCTGAAGGGATGAATCAGTAGATACAATAGGTGAGATCTCGCGAGATGCATGAAAGACACGCGTCGAAGGTCTGTCGCAAAAATCGAACGATTTGATTTTGAACTCGAATTTCTTTATTTCGTAGCGCACATCGACCGGCCGATCTTCGACAGAGGAATATTGCATTCGAATATCCTCACTTTATCGAAATTGCCCATCATCAAATGTGTACAGCACATTATTGACATGGAAATGTTCCCCAAAATACTTTCGCGTTTGTCGAATCCCACGCGATGTTTGACGCCACTACGACGCTATGACCTTTGTTTGTCCTGTTTTTTACGTTCGATTTCACGCATAACGCGTGATTCTCGCAGTGAACGGGAAATGGTCTATTCAGTGGAAATATCCTTTTCCTTATTTTTTACATTCAAGCCATTTTCATACGAAACAGATATAAAGCGTTTTCGGCGAAAATTAATTCCATAAATAAAGGATTCTACAGTAATTCATTCCTTGATCCTTTCTTAGCAAAATTACACTTGAAGATTCCCCCATTAAAACCATACGCGTGCGTGAAAATATTTCACCGGAGACAAAGTCGAACTCCGAACAGTTCGATACGCGTTACCTAAAGCGCAAAGACCTATGGGAAGGAGATTGAGTCAAAGTATTTACTATTGTTTGGGTTGGAATTTTGTAAACGTTACAGGACATATGAGCATTATAAGAATCTGACATGTTCATGTCACTTTTGTAAAACAAATTGTAAAACTGAAAGTGCCAGCATATTATTTTGTTCATGCGAAAATAGCATTGCCAAAATATTGTAATGAAGGAAATTGGTGTCTTATCAGGGGGGAAATTTCTCCTCTGGGGTCTCCACACTTGCCAGGGGGAAATCTAGTCTCGTCTCTCTATCGCGTCCCCTTGAGGTACGGGACCGGGAAAGTCTTAAACTTTATAGTCAAATAGACACACACAACGAAATACGTTTCAACTCTCGTCTTTAGTCGGTCAGTCGTGTACTCTATAAGACACAGCGCCCTGGGGGAAACATCCCAAAGACTATCGCAAGGCTGTCCCAAGACTCTCCAGGATTGGACTCTCTTCTGGTGTACTCGCCAAGACCAACTAAAACTCTCTTTATTCATTTTCAAAACTTTAACCAATTACAAAGCAGTAAAAAGACTCTAGGGCGTAACCTTCAATCATAAAGCCAATCACACTAAGTACTGAATACGTCATATCTTTTGATTAATCGTTCACTACATTAATAACTACAAATACTAAACTGTCAGAAATAGTAGTCCGAATAGCGACGGTTATCTCGTAATTAGTTCCAAATCACTGAGTCGAGTTCCGTCCAGAACATCACATGGCCTAAACGATGACAGACATAACACAGCCATTCATTCGTAATCAGCTAATTAAGTCGATTAACAGATACGCAAAACAAATTCATCACAGTCTCATCAAACGATTTTCCAAAATGGGTTTCGTTTTCTTTATATGAATACGTCATGCACATGTATATTTTACTCTATATGGATAACATTTCATAAAAGATACATGGAAAGAAAATTAACTACTAGTACGAGTACATCTGTCAGCATTTATTGGTGTTAAAAATGTAAAAATAATAAACATTATCTTGAAATGTACATATAGCATGACAGTATGTATATACACCGACGACGTATTTCAATAATACACTGGTGGCTCGTTTTCGCCTCGGATCGAATACTTTATGTCTTGAAGCTCTTTTGGAATGTACTCGTACGAGTGTGTTTTTTCCATCTCTGACATTCTCATTTGCATATCCCCTGCCTGTTTTCGCCCACGTTCTAGTTCGTCGTTCATTTTCAGGAGCAGATCTTCTTGGTAGACAACAATATCAGACAGTTCACGGAGACTTTTTCGTCGGAAAATTCGAGGAACGTGGCCCGAACTCTTTGCTTTTTTGAATGTCCTAATCATCGGGTTGCCCTCCGTTACGTCATTCGTTTGCCGTTCTTTATATCTGTCGAACAGAATAAAACAAATTAGAAAATTATTTTTTTTTTTGCTGCCGGGAATCGTTAATGATTACATCACTGTATAAAAGTACTCATTTATAATAATCGGAGGCGTTACACATAGTTCTAGCCCGATAAATACTTCACCATTCTTTACAAGCCGTCGGCCGAGATTGAGACTTGAAATTTCTGAAGAGAGCAAAGCACGAATTGGCTTGATACAAAGTATGCTTGTATTTTCAATTCATAATAAATAACAGCAGCAAGTTTATTCAGAATACATAGTAGAACTGAAAAAATCAAATTTCTCATGAGACCGATACTAGATGAAATACTAATAATAACTTGGTATATACAACTCGAGAAAGAGTTCAAATTTAATTTATTTTTTGGTGTTTTTTTTCTTCAATAAAATAAAATATGAAAGTGTATAAATTGCGAAAGCCGGGTTTCCGCGAATTTCATTTTCGACTTTCGCGGTGACCCGGCTTTCGACCTTTACACACTCCTGTGATATATTATTTTACTAAAAAAAAAAACACTAAAAAATAAACAAAAGACTGTATGTATGCAAGTTTCAAGTTTACTGTGCATTGAACGTAGTATACGCAAATAATCATATTTGAAGTATCGAAGGCTGTCCAGTAATGAGAAGTCGATAAAAATACAATAGAAGCGCCCTCCCTGACGCTTACCTGTAAGATACTTCGTGATCACGGCCGAGAATGGGAATATGTCATTATACGTGCGGTAGCTACGACGGAAACCTACCCGGCCTTCAGTAATAATACTAACCAACTCACCTGACAACTTGCTTGTTTACAAGCCTAACCATCCATGGACATAAGAAATACGTATAATATAGTATATTCATCATTTCGTTGCTGTTGTTGTTCAACCAGGGATAATTCTCTTCAGCAGAGGAGTTGCCAATGTCACCACACAGCACATCAGGCCCAGGTAAAGTCTGTGCCTGGCCGGTGACTGCGGCCCTGGTATGTGTTCAAAATAAAACAATAAATGCATTTCCCATCGACCACATGCGCTTGCCTTGTTCCAGCACGTCATAAACGCGTCAAAGCGTCACAAACGCTTCAAAAAAGAACTTTGTTGAGAGAGCGCCGCCATGCGATATAACCGGGAGTGGTGATTAGAACAAGTGCAGGTAGCCACCAAAGAAGATCCATTGCTAGAAACGTCTCGCTATGTTGAATAGTTAGTTAGTACAACGAACCAAATATTGTCGACTTTATATTAGGTAATAATAATAATAATAATCATCTTTATTGTTATCGTATCCTCTATGGGACTTTGATTGAAGAATACAATAAAGGTATAGCAATGAAAAAAAAAAAGAGTTTAAAAGAGTATAAAACAAAGGTATCATGGTTAGTTTAAGTGAAATCCTAAGAAAAAAACACGGAATTTATCCATTTTGAATTATATATATTAGGATATTCACTTTAGAAAAGTTTTGGGTCATCCGTCAGGCCTATTTCTTGAGAAAATGTTGGTTGTATTGTCGTTAATGGCAGCCATTCTGTCAATATTAAAACGCTTTATCTGTTGTTTCTATGGTGGAGAAATTATGCCATATCTCAAATTGTAGACTGGTGGCACAAATGAAAAAAACAATAGATCGTGACTGATATATTACTTTTGTTATTCTGGATAAATTAAAAAAAATCCAAGTTTTAAAAAGTGACAACAAATGACGTATTTTATGGAACTATTCTAAAAACAGTAATTTTTGAATAATAAATGGCAACTTTTTTGAAAATACGGTAGCGTAAACACAAACTAATGCTGGTGTATCGTGGACGCCTGCGCATTAGAATTTTTTAATATGTAAAGTTTATCGAACGAATGTTTGTTGATAACACTGGATTTATTTTATGATAAATCATGCTCTAATATAATGTAATGTAATGAAATGAAACAAGATGCAATATTATTGTTAAGATAATAAAAAAACCTCCAAGTTGAAGCGCCACCACGTGTCCGTGGCGAGTCCAATAATTTGCATTTTAACTATCAACATATGAACTGCCAGGTTCCAAGCTTTACATAAACATATATATCACTGTTCTCTTTTTGTAACTGTGCGTATGCGTACAATCGCTAGCTCCAGTAACTGGGCCAATAGAACAAAAACAGCTGTGTTTTTTTTCAAAAATGACGATAATAACAAGTAAAGGCGATGGAGAATACCCACAGAAAGGTAAGTAGGACAAATTGCAAATATGTTTGCCGCTATGCGTTGATGAAGATCAACAACGAGCCGTTGGGAAAGTTTCCGAAATTGTCCCTGGTTCTGACTCCTTTTGTGTCTGGTCGCTAACTTGCTATTTATGGGTACATTTAAAATGCAGCACAGTTCGGTGCATGTTTATTTCCATTTCGACTGTGTTTTGAGCGATTATATGCCGATGTTTTACCACTTGTTTTCATAGTTGAAGCCCGATACTGTTACATTGACAGACGCCATCCGTTCCCCTTGGCGTGATGCTGCTGATCATCTGCACAACAAGATAAAGGTCAAATGAAAGGTCAACTTGTGTTAACAATGTTCATTCAAACGAAATTGTCCGTTTGTGAATCATTGACAGATGTCTACACATTCAGCATTGAATTCAAAAAGTATATACAGTGGTCATACTGCAGTATATCATGTTGTTTTCGAACTAGAATGTACTAGTAGATCAATTCCATAATGCAAAATGATACTGCAAAACATGTCCTTTCAGCTAGCTTTAGGCAATTAAACTAATCTGTAATTTCACTAATACAAGATGAATATTCTCACTATATAGAACTTTAACTAAATTGAGATTGTGATGATTTGAGGCTATGACGTTTAGTTTAATTATTTGCATAATGATATTGATACATTGTATGGAACATCCCGTGGGTATTTAGACTCAGTTCCAGGCCTAGCAGTTGAGCAATAAACATCTTAGCTACAAATGCTCCTCTTCAGTTAGTTATTCACCTCCTGGATTTGGTGACCAATACTGACTTGGTTCACTCTACCTTGAAAAAGTCTGTTCTCAGTTTACAGAGATGCCATGAGCCAAGTTTGCTAAAACGGAATGTAGCTATTTCAATATGTTTTCAATAATATGAAGACCCCATTCTAATAAAT